CCCTATTTCCCTCTGCCTTACAATCTGTCCATTCAGCAGTATGTAGTCTTGGTTCCTAGATTAAAATGGGGGTATAAAAGAGGAAAATAATGGAGAAAGGGGGGGCCAATAGGAAGTTAGAGAGAGTGAAGAGCGAGAGGGAAAATGGACATACATACCAACTATCAGGTGAGAAAGAGACACAAGGCCAGAAAGAAGTAAAAAAAGACACATAAGAAAGATTCCCTAAAGAGTACTGATAGCTACACAGAGACAGACCAATATAATCATGAAACAGTGTAAGTCAGAAGGCAAACAATGGACGTGATCAAAATAAACAGTCAAAATGATAAAATTATAAGTCACAATAAGAGATCAGACTAAAATCACTTCAGCTCTGATCTCCGGCCTCTCCCCTTTGTTTTTTGTTGCAGGCAGCTAGGTTTACTCACAGCTTGGGTTTGGCTGCCTGGGAGTTGTTTTTATCTGATTCAGCTTAGGGGTGGGGCTTTGTCTCCTGTTTAGCAATGCTACCTAGGAACTGAGTTGGAGTTTGTTGATAGGTGGGCAGGGCAATGGAAATCTCTGCTTGGAGGAAGGCGGAGGTGGATTATCTTTCATAGATTCCTTTCTCTCCGCTTGTCTGGGTCCCCAAGCTTGGGGTCACTGGCTGAGTGCCTCAGCCAGGGTGAGCCCAGAGCTCCAGAGCTCCAAAGCTCCAGTGGGCAGGTGGTAAGTGGTGAGAGTGGCCCTGGGCCCCCCACAGAGTACTTCAGCCAGGAATGGGACCAGTGTCTCTGAGGGGCAGGCACCCAGAGCCTCCCTGAGTGATGGGCGGCTTGGTGTTGGGTGCCGGGGGAGAGACAATGTAGCCGGGGAGCTAGCTGAGACCCAAGACTCCCATGCATGTGGTGGAACAGCAGCAGCGGGGGACTGCAATATCTGGCCCTGCGTGGGACTGAAGGTCCCCAGGCCTCGGACCAGCGTGGCTAATGGTGGGCTGGGGGATGGGGGAAGAAAAATAAGAGTCTTTTTGGGAGCACATGTTTGGACAATCTCACAAGTTCACCTATGCCATCGCCATCTTGTTCCCCTGAGAATAAACTTTCGCCCAAACCTTGAAACGCCAGCAGGTTGTATTATCCCTCGCTCCAGATGGTCTGTATCTCAGCTGCTTGCCTGCCCCTCAGGCACTGATGGTGCAATGTGGAATGTCTGCCTTGGCAGCGGTGGCAGCAGCAGCAGTGGTGGTGGTGGTGGTGGCTCAGCCACTGGCACAGGCGGTGTGATGTGTAATGGCCGCCTCTGTGCGGCGGCTGCCTTGGAGGAGGCGGTGGCTTGGCTGCCTCGGAGGAGGAGGTGGCAGCTCAGCTGCCTCTGAAGGGAGGTGGCGGCTCGGCTGCCTTGGAGGAGGAGGCGGTGGCTTGGCTGCATTGGAGGAGGTGGCGGCTGCTCAGCTGCCTTGGAGGAGGCGGCCGCTCGCCCCAGGCACTGGTGGTGCGAT